AGTGAATAATAGATGGATTTGTGTTGAGCTGGGAGAACACGCGCGGAGAAACATTTGTCTTTGAGTGTTGTGTATCGATCTTACAACACTTGTTAGAGACAGTTGTTGATGGTGCTAGCATGTTCTTGAGGAGTACAAATAAGGTACAGAGCGAGCTAGACCCATCAATACTTAATTTTTATGATGATACTCGTAAGGCAACGATCAAACCGAAGGTGTCATATTTCTCTTGGGAACTTGGGAACGTAAAAGAGGGTAGCTCCAGTTAGTTAAATAAAGACAAGTTTACCTGCATCAACACGCTCCACTTTAAAAGGCATCAGAATTTAATACTGAAAGAAGGTACCTTACGAAGAACCAATATAGTTTTCAGGTGTAAATATTGTAATTCATTAAGAAGGGTCAGTGATAACAAATGGGTATTCCTGTCCCGGAGATGAATCAAGCGCATTATGAAATGTGCAAGAAATTTAAAAGTACAGAATACAATCATTAGGACATATTAAAGAATGTTTCTGTCCTAGGATCTTGGTTACTTCAAGTGTCAGAATTTGGAGTGATCAGGGTCTAAAGGTCATAACAAGTCCGGCAATTATTTTCCACTATTTATCGGTATCAACTACTTTTATATCCAATAAGATTAAGTAGTATGAGGCTTCAAGAACTAGGCAATAGCATGGTTTAGGTGCCCTTTCTATAAAGTTTCTCATTTACACTCGATGTATATTATCTGTTTCAGTGTACTAAGGAAAAATAACTGTTGACGTTCGAGGTGTAGAGTATGGAGATCTGAGATAGTACAAAGAGGAAATGGGATCTAATGCTACTGTTTCTAAGATAGACGGAACAGCAGGTGAAGTGGACCCAAGATAACTGACAGCCACTGATAAAAAACAAAGTGAAACGTGATAATTTCATGATTGAGAAAATGAGAGGGGAGGAATTGAGATGCAAGTAAACAATACTGAAAGAAAAATGCAGATGAAAGATTAGAGAAAATATGAAATGATGGCTCACAAGAAAGCAAATTAAGTTGGAATTACATGAAAAGGAAAAAGAAAAAAGATGACTGAGACACACCTTGAGATTGAAAGACAAATAAGATTTAAGAAACATAGTCACGCATTATCATGCACGGATTATTGTCACGGATTATGATGCCTCAGAAAGAATAAATTGCAGAACCCTCTGTGACCGAAGCCAAGAAATTCGTTTTATATTTTGAAAAGAAAATCATTATTTTATAAGAGTGAAACAAGGAGGAATGGGCCGTGCTAAATTTAGTTTACCAAAAAAAAAAAAAAAAAAAAAAAAGACGCGTCTTTACTAAAATTCCTCTGAAAAAGAGCATAGCAGTTCCTTGTTAATTTTAACTGTTTCAAGCTAAACATTGTTGTAATAAGTTTGACTTTATGCTTTAGTGGTTTTAGAATAGTGTTTTAGTTTCAAAACCTCTTACTTCAAGAGACGAAATAACCGAACCTCGTCGAACATTTCAGAATTGCTGTGATATTGTGGCTATTTTTTCAGGGAGTAGTGCTAAACCATAGGGATTATTATAACTCCTGGAAAATGGAAGATAATCAGATTTGATCCTTGATCTAAGGGAAGGGTAGCTCAAATTAATTAAATCAAGAGCCCTTCACCAGCATCAAGCTGCTACACTTGAAAGTTAAACTATCAAATAATCAACAAAGACAGCAAAAGCAACTTCTGATCACAGTTTCTCTCCTTTTCATTACTTTCTCTTAATAAAAATTCCCAGGTGCTGCACTTGTGTGCTAGTCATCAACCCATTCGTATTATACTGTTGATCTGTTGATACTCTCCCGCTGATTCCTTAAACCCATTCTTTATCGGTTTGTTTTATGTCCAGTTCTTAATCAATCTATTTTAATTCGTGTTCATATATGTTGCAACAAAGAACTCTGTTAAAATCGTGCACCTCTCCCTTGTAAACAAATTCCCATCATTTTTTTTGGGGGGGGGGGGGAGGAGGGGGTGAACTGTTAGAAATCATCGTATTTTCTTAGATTCTGATTGCTCTTAAAATCCCCGATTGCCTCGAGTTTTCTCTTTCACCGCCGCTTTTCACAAACTAATCCCATAGAGAATTCTGCATCCCATCATTTATGATGTCACTTTCATCTCTCTCAGTGTTTTGTTAAAATTCTTTGCAGGTATTTACAACTGTAATTTTTTTCAGGCCTCTTCAAATAAGATTTCAGCAATATTAGATATAAATTTTTGTAGCCTACAGTACTTGTTTAATTAAGTTAAAAATAAATTTTCTCCTTTCTTACTCAGTGTTCAGTACCCTTAGTTTCCTTCACATACAATATCGTTAATGATTATCTGCGGATAATTTCTTTATAAATGTATGTGTGTGTGTGTGTGTGTGTGTGTGTGTGTGTGTGTGTGTGTGTGTGTGTGTGTGTGTGTGTGTGTGTGTGTGAGAGTGTGTAGTTTTGCTAGGATATTTTTTTTATTTTCAGTTTTG